TTATCAAAAATCAAACGGTTTGCGCAGGCTTGCAGCTTACACCACGATCTACATGATGCCACAAAATGAGTTTGCTACATAAAATAGGAAAAAAGTTACGGGAAAAGTTGCAAAACTTATGTGCCAACCTAATATTATAAATAGGTGAAATCCATTATCATACGGAGGCGGAGGGCCATATAAGCAAGCGGATGCAAACGCTATGTTTTCATCTTTGAAGCGCGTTAGGCGGAACGCAACATGACCCCCTTCACGTCCGCTTAGCTTATTTGGGCAAATGACCTTCGTCCGGCGACAGACTATAGACTCTGAAACGACACGTATTTTCGAATCAGACTCGTGATCGGGGCTATTTGAGATTTGAGATCATGCTAGTAAATAGGAGCCGTTTTGGAAATGCTAGATTCCATGAGCATTTCCAAAACGGCTTGTAATTCCATGAGCGAAGTTCACTCACAAATCAGCCTCTGCAGAAAAGTCATGGCGTTTGCTAATGGACCTGTAGCGATCATCTCCTGAAACCTTTTACAGTACTCATATGTACAAAGAAAATGAGTTATTTGCAGTTGTGCTTTCAACTTCCAAACTGATCAGAAACGTCGTACCTCATATGGACTATTTGTCAGTGGTAGTGCTCCTCTTTCAACTCCAGTCTGCGAAGAATTCAAATCTAGTACCGGGCATTCTATCCTAGAACGGTACTTGAGGCAAAAATGAGATATAGGACCTACGACGGTACGGCGTTGACTGAAGGTTTTTGTTTTTACATACATGTTATCAGAATCTGTAATTATCCCAATTTTAGCGCGAGTCATCTGCTTAATTCTATAAGACAACCGTCGTTCTTGCACGGTAGGAAAACTCATTAGGGACGCAAAGATCCTATATCTCATTATTGCCTCAAATAATATAAGAAAAGGCTTCTTACAGCTTAGTATAAATGAGGGAGATATAGAAATACATTCATTGCCGTTGTTTGCTGGATGCGGAAGCATTCGATGAAAACTGCTGAAGAGTTTACTGAAACGGTTACTTTATGGAGATGGCGGAGCAGTTGATGAAAATGGTTGATATAATGTCTTCGTTAAAATTTACTTAAATCGCAACTTTCAACCAACAGTAAAACTTACACTGTTGGTGCCATCCCACTTTTGCTGACTAGAACAATCAAGTACTATATTCAGTCAGCATCTTACACATTTGCTGAGTCTGATACTATATCTACACAAAAATTCCTTCTTGCCTTTTTTTGACATTAAAGGTGCGAGATTTTTTCAAGTTGATCTTGGTCTTCTAAGCCTCTGCAGAACTTGTGTGCCAAGCCTTTGCTCGACTGATGTCTATGTCTATCGGGGGCAGCCAGTGTGCCGTCACTTCGAAGCTCTCGAAAAGCGTTAAGGCACATGTATATCCGTGTGCCTAAACGGTGAAGATTTTGCCATGAGCTTCAAAATAACCCATTCATTCCTAATAATATCCATCTTTGACGTCTTCTAGTGGCACCTCGATCTTCCTTTTTTTTTGCCTCCTTCACACATGCTCATAATTTGTATATATCATGTTCTCAACGTTTTTGATTGATTTGCTCAGTACTTGGTTTTGTTCATTGGCAGCTCCAGCACCATTTGTGAATGAACGTAAAATATACGTAGAGTTTCGAATGCCCTAAGATTGTATTCAGTCAGCATGTCATATAAACTCCTAACTGTTTATGCCATTCCATATTTAATCGTCTGCTCAAATATTTCAATCCGAGTCTAAGAGTGCTCTAGCGTTGATGTCGACGGTTCAAATGTAATTTTGAATTTTGTGCAAACTTTTTGCTTCGCTTATGTTTAACCGAGGAAAATGTTAAATCGCATTAGAAATAAAATACCATGGTTATTGTGCATCATTGTTATTTCTCATCAGGGATAGTAAATGCAGCGCTATACTTGGTATAAATAAAATCACTTTCTTCCAGAAAGAAATTTTTTTATGGTTAAGAGATTTGCGGATATTTGGTCGGTGTAAGGATCTCGTGATTTCTAGACAACACCAAGCCAAAAGAAGTGGAGGATTGCATCAGTAGACCAGACTGTCGAGGAATCCGCAGTCATTGGTGAGGAAGGGCTACTTGCTGAATTTTCTTTTGATCATTCCGCTCCACAATTTCTGCGAAACCCGACTTGCCTGTAAAATCAAAACAACTATCTTTGGCAGTATGTAAGTTGTCGAACAAACGCAGACCTAGTTTCCGCTGGATAACGTAATGTTGCCAAAAATGCGCAAACATTACACATATAAGCGTGCAGGAGTTTCACGTGCGAACGCCACCCTTCAAATAATTTATTGCAATGTTGTATTCCTTCTGATGGCTCTCTTTTTAGGTGTTCCACGTAAAGATCTTGACGGAGCACCAGCAACAGTAGCAGCTATGAGCTCTGAGAACTTTTTCGATGAAGAAGCTGTGGAATTAAAATTATAGAATCTGTGAAGAAAGTACCCCTGAAGTACAAGGTGAATCATTCCTCAATATTATGTCTGATGTCCACATTGTATGTAGATTGCTTTCGATTTAAGGAGCCAAAACGAGCCTTCTTACCAAACCTCCAAGGACCACTATGAAGAAGATACAAAAGAACACCGAGAGCAGTACAAGCATCTCTGTGATCAGTAGCTGGTAGTAAACCTTCTGTACAGTGAAAACTACCTCACTTAGGAAAACCATGGCACCATAGATTCTACTTATGGGTGCATTCCTCTTTTCAATAGTTGTCACACATCTCCATCCTTCCTGATTACAAAATTTTATAATTTTGCTGCGTAGTCGAGATGTTGCGTAGAAGCAGATGGGATATACTTTTATGATAATTTTGAAGATAAAATCTGCCTGACGACAGTGTTTGTTTACATTCTGAGTGAGCTTTTTTATACAAACATGATTGCTCTGATTGAGCTGAAAATTGTTGAAAAATAACAAAAACTTTTCAAAGCCATGTCACCAATAATGACTAATATGAATTCGAAAGAATGATAACATGGCTGAAACCTCAAGAAGTAGGAACTAGCTCCAAAAATGCCGAGCTGTTTGTATCAGTGTTGCGCCAAAATCCCAGTTTAGGTTTATAGAGAAGATTTTCACAACATAGATCCAGGTTTGTATGGTCAGTTGGAAGTGAGGCTGGCTCTTGCACTGGCGGCAGAGGGATCGGTTCTTTCCAAAGCCAATTGCTTTGCAATTTGCAAAGAACACATTTACTTTGTTACAAAAAAACATCGTGCCAAGACTCAGACTTTAGTAACTAAACCTTGGAAAACACACAAAATTGACTGGATTACCTGTCTTTATCATAAGGCGGGATTGCCGGTATGGTTGACTTCGAGGATTCTCACCAGACAAGTTTGTGTGGCGCAGTTGATGGTGCTGCAGGCTCGTACACTGGCGCTGGGGGGGGGGGGGGGGTCGCTTCCTCCCAGAATCAATTGCTTTGCGGAGTACACACCCATTTGTTGCAAAAGGGGGTGCCAGGTACCTCAAACTTGGGTAACTAAACCGAAATAATATGAAGAAAATTATCTGAACTCCGTATCTTTATCATAAACGGGGACAAAAATCCTGGTAAACGAAAATATCGACAATGTAGACTGTCTCAGATGGTTGAAAGGCGTGATTATCAACCACTGAGTGGGGCATCACAGGTTCAGCCTCAGCAGTGACAGGTGGTGAGTGTTAAAAGAAACTTTTATGCAAAAAGTATATGCTCTAAGTAGAGAATTTCCCCACACTTTAGACGAAAACCGAAAGTTAGGGATATACGAAGCAGTGGAAAACAATGCTCAGTCAAAAGGTAAGCGAGTTGAGTGAGCTGGATATACCCAGCGAGAAGGGAGCAGGTGAGTTAGGTAACCACCGCAAGAGCAGCCAGACGGACCAGAGCAGGGGGAGGAGGCAGCAGCAGAAGAAGGAGAGGGGGAAGGACAACGCGGCAGGTAAAGAAGGGGGAGGCCAAAAGAAGGAAGAAGGCGGGAAGGGAGCAAGGGCGACCCGGGGCAAGGGAAGAGAGGAGAACAAGATGGAGATCACCCACAATGTCATGATACATCCCCGCGGAACCAAAAAGGCGCAAAACCCTCCCCCCAACCCAGACCACACTCAAACAAACGCCACCAGGGCCCCCCATCGGCACCAGAGACGCCCTCCGATGCCCCAGCACCCAACAATAACCCCAGCCAAGCACCGAGACCCGAACCCCCCATGCACTCATTGCAGTCGGATACGCTATCCAATCGACCATCCGTACACCCTGAAGACAGTCGCTGCCTTGAGCACATAATTTTTATCGTAAATTCCTGTACCGATAAAAAGTCTTGCTAACACCTAGCTGTCACTGGCTAGATTGAACCCGCGAGGGGCCGTTCTATAGTTGGTCAACATACCACTCAACTATTTGCGACAGATGGGAGTTCCGTATTCTTATCTATCAGGATTACTGATCCAGTTTTGAGATAAAGATAGAAGGTTTCAATTTTCCGCATGTTTTTTCTATTAGTTACCCCAGATGATAGCTGACTCACTTTTTTGCAACCAAAGCCGACGTGTACTTTGCAAAGCAATTGGCTTGGGGAGGGATCGATCCCTCAACCATGAGTGTGTGATGCCGCAGCTCCACCAACTGCGCCATACAAATTTATCTTTGCAGTGTGGTCATCTTCCACATCAACCTAAACTAGGAAGATTTTGCGCTTAATACTGATACAGTCAGCTTATTAGAGTTATCAGATTTGTATAGTAAAGCTCACTCAGAACGTAGACAAACATTCTTATTAGACCTTTTTATTTTCGGTAAAAAATCATTGAAATTTATCTCATCTGCTTCTGCTGATACATGTGCTTCCCACTAGACTAACAACAGTTTCTCAGGTCATTGCAATGAATCTGAAGTACAATATACTTGAAGATAAATGCATGTCCAACCCTTAGGAAACTCATGCCATCGCACTTTCGTACTAGAACTCAAACTCGTGTGATCATACTTTCCTGCTAAAATAACGGTAAGCCTTGGAGTCAGCGAAATCTCGAAAGGGTCAAAAGGTGAGTGTCTGGCTATCAACGACCAGCTGAATTAGTGATCGGACCTCCTTCTTACTAAGGAGGATCACAAAGCCATCTTCATAACCTCGTGAGAATAACATATCCACTCTCGAAAGCAAACCGCATCTGAATTTAGGTTCTGGATGCTTCTGTGAAACAAGCCATTCTGCAGGTATACAGGGTTGGTCCACATGAAGAGCGATGAACTGCAAAAAATCTCTTTTTGGTCGTTTTTTTTTCTTATTTTATGCAGCGTACTGGTATTGTCTACTCCTATTCTTTAATTGTGGTCATTCTTAACTCGTTCCAAATAGAGTCGATCAGGCGTGAGGCCACGCGTAGTCGCTATACAAAACTGCGAATTGCCAGTTTCTAAGACGAAGAAAGATATTAAAAGCATTTTTCCCCAAAGTGGTGCCTTCTTGGACGTAGACAAAGCAGCTTCCGGACTTTTCAGTGGGGCAATGCAGAGAAATGGAATTTGATTTCGAACTAGACAAATAATGTTAGGCATTTTGACCGACCAGTTGTAAACTCACGAAGTTTCTTCATTATTGTAGGACCAAAAACCTGCTCCTTCAACCTCTCACCGAATTTGTTAAGAATAGATTTGAAAAAAATTTGAAAAAAGGAGGAAACAGCAGTTCGCAGGGAACATTGCGCACAACATGAAAATTCCTCTGAACGGACAAAATGCTTTGCAGAATTTTTGTTTCTCAAATGAAGGCAAAAGCTCACACTTTTATGGACCAGAGCATTTCTGCAATCAATGCAGGTGAATGATAAATATGCCAATCGACTCTCATGGAATGTGAAGCCTCTTCTTGAAAAGGTAGACATGTTTGGAGAAGTACACCCATCCGAGTAGTCCTTCTTCACAAGGTGTGAATTCTGTAAAAACCTAAGTTGACGATCCACCAATGAGTTGATACTAAATCAACTCTTGGGCGTATTTTCAACTTGAATCAACTAAATCAATCACAAGCAAGCATGGGTGATTTCAAGCTAAATAAATCAACCATATCAATTACAGGCAATCAATTAATACAGAGCCGCTTTTTCCAAAGCAATTTTGCATACAGTCGCAGTATCCTTTTTTCTCGTTGAAAAACAAAAATGTCAGCACTCTAAAAAGAAACGGTCCTGCATATCCTAGAAAGAGTCCTAGCCTTTCTACTCATTGCGGTAGCATGGCAAAACACAAAACCAGATGTGCACCTTAAAATACCCATAACTACAGCCTGCGCATTCGAGGGCATTTTTAGAACTTTGCTTCTCAGCAATAACACTTCCAGCATTGCTCATGTTCTGCGAATACCACTTCAGCGAAAATCAGGCATGGAGACTATCATTTATCGATTTTTTGCGTTTATCCTTAGCAGTTTTAATTACGAACAAAAAATATATGAAGGAAAGCGGGGAACCACACCAAACTTCGAAATATGAATTTCTAGCTACGCTGGTAAATTTATCCTACAAAGCCAAGACCTGGAAAGCTGCAGCTTTTCTGTATTAGAGCTCTCAAAAACAAGTCGAAAAACATTTTCCTCAAGCAGAAAAATTCAAATTTCTCTCGCAAACATCCTCTACTGAGCGCGCAAACCCTGCACGGGTAAGACCAAATTTTTCTAAGTGAACTCATTTATTTTCCGTGCACAGACAAGAGTAAGAAAGCTGCAGCTTTTCTGTATTAGAGCTCTCAAAAGTAGGTCGAAAAACACTTTCCTCAAGCAGAGAGATACAAGGTTTTCTCACGAACATCATCTACTGAGCGCGCGAACCCTGCCTGGGTAAGACGAAATTTTCTAAATGGACTGATTTATTTTCCGTGCAAAGACAAGGGTAAGAAAGCTGCTGCTTTTCTGTATAGGACTATCCAAAAATAGCTCAAAAACATCTACTTCGAGTAGAGAAATACAAAGTTTTCTCACGAACGTCATCTACTGAGCGCGAAAACCCTGCCTGGGTAAGACGAAATTTTTCTAAGTGGACTGATTTATTTTTCGTGCAAAGATAAGTGTAAGAAAGCTGCAGCTTTTCTGTATAGGACTATCCAAAAATAGCTTAAAAACATCCACTTGTAGAGACTTATCGCCTTGAAAAGTAATAGAGACTTATCGCCTTGAAAAGTAAGAGTGTTTCAAGACTTATGTTACAGCCTAATACAAGGTGCTGGTCAGAAGCATAATTAAGTGCTATCCCAGCAGCACATCGGTCCACATTTCAGAAATAGGCAACCAGCAATGACAACTAATTGAAAATTATAAACTTTGACTAGGAAAAATGATGAGAAAACACCATGGCTGCCCCCACCTCCGGTCGACATTTTATAATTTCTCTGCAATGCGAAACACCCTTCACCCGGATGGGCAGGGACCGCTGTGACCCCCTTCATCCTGTCGCGGTCGTTCTCACCTTATCGCACCTCTGAATGAGAGTACGAGACGAGTGCCGTGAGACTCAGCAACTCAATTTTTCAGGACAAACATGCACATCGAAACACACACACATCATTTATTGACATAAAATAGATTCCGATGAGATTCTGAAAGAGCACGGGATATCAGCACCATCGATACGATCAAGGCTTTTTCGTTGACGGCTGAACAGCTCTTCGTCCTTGGATGTGGTTGAAAGAGAAAAGACAGCAATAGCATGGACGTGTATAAAAAGTTCACTTAGGCATACCCAATAGGGTACATTTCGGCAGTAGAATATTAACAGCTTACATACATAAGCAAAGCATGGGCAGCAGTTCCAAAAGGAACGATTAGCATTTGAGCATATTTGAAAGTGAAAGCAAACACATGAAGTAGCAATGCAATTACGAATTATCTCACTCTGAAGAGTATCTGTACCTAGCAATAGAATACGACTAGAAAATAAGAAATAGTGGTTTAGAGGAAAAACCTAGGAGAAATTTCAGTGTACACATATGGCTCGTTCGGTCCCGCTTCTTCGGATTTAACTGGATTATATCTTCTAATTATTTTGTAGAGCGAGCGCATTCTTGTAGCCATCACCGGCATGGTCAGCACATTAAAGTGCAGTCATTATAGGACTGAGTCCTCCACCGAATTCACATCTTGCACCGCTGCCCTCTTCCGACTCCGCGGACGAGCATTCTGTGGAGTTCTTCGAGCCTTCGGAGCCTGAGAATATGACGATAAGATGAATAACCGAACGGTGATTCCTTTTTTCTTGATTGGAAGCAACTTCAAAGACTTACAATAATAATTTCGTAAAGTTGCACGTACGCGGAAGGTCACTAGTAAATGGTGTGCTCATCAAAACTCAGTCACTGATTGTACAATACCGCTCGTAATTTGTGAAATTGGCGGCGGCACCTAACTCACGCGGCGCCGCCGCAGTTAGGCGGCAAGTGCCGCGTCGCGCGGCAAAGTTAGGCGGAAAAGCGGCACTTGCCGCCTAACTTTGTCGAGCGACGCCTAACTTTTTTAGAAAAAAGATCTTATCTTGATTCAAAATTTATGAATTCTATATTTAAGAGTACCATTCAACTCAGCTAGGCGAGGCGCATCTTCCAGTATACAGATGTGCCTAGTTGTGAGATATAAGTTTTTTTTTCTTGGAATTTTAGTGTAAATGGATCATCCCGTGTGCTGATTCCAAGGCTACATACACATTTTTGAGCACTGCAGAAATTGCAGGTAGTTCAAGAGCTCATTCTGCATGGATATGTGTGAAGCTGGGCTTTCCTCGGCGAAGTATGACGGGTCCCAAAATGCAGGAAGACAAAGGGAAATGGTTGGAAATCGCATGAGAAGCACATATCGCGGAATGCCGCGCGTGGTGCGCAATGTACAATACCACCCACAGAACGGGATTTCGCGAAATTCCAGAAATTTCGCGATTCCGGAATATCGCAAATTATGCAGCGCCATAACTTCCTTCGGAATGAATATATTCTAAATCCAAAAGCAGCTTTGTTCTCAGCCCGTCAAGGCGAATCTTTCGACGTACGTCACGTCATCTACATCTTGTTTCCACTTTTCTCAAATTTTTCTGAGGAGGTCCCTTTGCAAGTGTGTAACGCAGCGCCTGTCCAACATAAAAGCTTCCAGTGAGTACCATTCGATAGTGCTCTTCTTGTACATTATAGTGAGCTAAAAAGCTGCCGCAGACTTCTTTCCTAAAGAGAAAAAAGCGTTGGTAAACTCTGGAAAAATCACTCGTTTACAGATTCTACTCGCCGTAACTTTCTTTGGAGTGGATATTCTCTGAATCCGAAAAATGCATTGTGCTCAGCTCATCAAGGCAAATCTTTAGGTATGCAGAATGTCCTTGATATCTCGATTTCAGTATTCTTAAAACTTTCTGCGGACGTCTCGCAAAGGTGTGAAGCAGCGCTTATTGCCCCCAGTAGATTCAGAAACAAATTTTCGATAGTACTTCTTCTGTAGATTATGGGACACTAGAAATTAAGAGATAGAAGGGCTGGTGAATTCTGGAAAAATCATGTCGTTCTAAATTTTTCTCACCGTAACTCTAATGAAGCTCTTTTGCTAAGCAGATGTGATTTTCGTAATCAGCAGGTCGAATAACCCTTATGAGCATGTTTTTCAAGATGTTCAAGAAGTTCATTTTTTCTCGTCTTACGCTCTGAAGCAGGCCGATGGATTCTGGTCAAAATGTTCATGCTCTTAAATTGTAAGGAAACTTCGCTTATAGAGGTTTTCGAACACGATCTTTACGAAAATCAAGGTCTTTGAGGATTACAGGGTCTTTCTGGTGAGATACGGTGAAGTGACTGTATGTGAATCACGAAAGTGCGTAACTTTGCCCGCACTTCTCGCGGATTTGTCAAAAAACTTGCTTGCTTGCTTGTCCAAGTCAAAGTTAGTAGGGACTGTGCCATCGAATGGTGCATGCCTCAGACTCCACTCTACAGAAATCGCCGAGTTACGAGCCTCCGAAAACACATCCTCATGAATTTTGCCCAAAATGTAAAGATCGCATAATTCGTCGAAGTGCTTATGCAACACGTTAATCAAATCCTTTCACATCTTTAATGGATCTTATTATGCTAGATTTGAGCTCTAGCCACGAAATAGTTTTTATATTCAACTGAGCAGCTGAAGGAGACGCAAGCACCATATTCAGTACAGTGGGAGCCGTTCGACGAAGCGAACATGATATCCGCAATGCGAGTGTCATAAAAGCACTCAGAATGGTATTGTACATTGCACAGCACGCGCGGCATTCCGCGATATGTGCTTCTCATGCGATTTCCAACCATTTCCCTTTGTCTTCCTGCATTTTGGGACCCGTCATATTTCGCCGAGGAAAGCCCAGCTTCACACATATCCATGCAGAATGAGCTCTTGAACTACCTGCAATTTCTGCAGTGCTCAAAAATGTGTATGTAGCCTTGGAATCAGCACACGGGATGATCCATTTACACTAAAATTCCAAGAAAAAAAACTTATATCTCACAACTAGGCACATCTGTATACTGGAAGATGCGCCTCGCCGAGCTGAGTTGAATGGTACTCTTAAATATAGAATTCATAAATTTTGAATCAAGATAAGATCTTTTTTCTAAAAAAGTTAGGCGTCGCGCGACAAAGTTAGGCGGCAAGTGCCGCTTTTCCGCCTCACTTTGTCACGCGACGCGGCACTTGCCGCCTAACTGTGGCGGCGCCGCGTGACTTAGGTGCCGCCGCCAATTTTTTTTTTCACAAATTACGAGCGGAATTGTACTAGGTTTCCGAAAGTAATTTCGCAATTTTTGACCGCAAACAAAATCGTCGATATAGAGTATCCAGACATGTACCAAATGTATTCGATGCAGCTTTCACCCCTCTTTTTAATGGTTAGATTAGCAAGTCAAAATCTTCGAATGCTCGCAAAAAGTGCTGAAGTTTTCAGCTAACGACCGCTTTCACATGTCAAATGAATTGTTTGTCAATAAATTCCTGTCAGAGCTTCAGCAGTGATCAAGTAATTTGCAGCTAGAGCAAACCTAGCAGCATACGTCGTTTTTTTAAGGCTTCTAGTCAATCATTTTCGATTCTCTAAGTGTTTTCCTCAACAAAAAACCCTTAATCTTAGCATTAAAGGCAGTGTCCAAGCAAAAAGTCGATTGTGAAATTTTGTGCTTACTCGGGCCCATTCGCCATGCTGAACACCATAATGGAGAGCGCGAAAATGCCAAAAAAGGCCTAATGCAGGGGGAAAATTGCAGGTGGGCGGGGCCGTTCACACCGTAACGTCACTCTCCCAGGCTTTATGAGCGATCTTCTCGATTCCGATTTTATGTCATGCCTTTCGCAGATTGCTGGTGGTGATGTTAGAGCGACTGGCGGAAGCGAGAAGATCGCTTTGTGCTTATCCGGGCCTATTCGCTATGCTGAATCCGAAAATCCACATTGGAAAGCGCGAAAACGACAAAAAAGGGCTCTAACACTGGAGGGAAATCAGCAAGTGGGCGGGGTCTTCCCCACTGTGAATTCTCGCTCCCAGCTTCGGGGCGATCTTTTTGATTCCGGTTTCAAGTCATTCGTTTGCACTTGCTCGGTAGTGATGTCACAACGGCTAATGGATTCGAGAAAATTGCTCTGGAAGCTGGAAGTGTGAATTCACTGTGGGGAAGACCCTGCCCACTTGCTGATTTCCCTCCAGTGTTAGACCCCTTTTTCGTCGTTTTCGCGCTTTCCAATGTGGATTTTCGGATTCAGCATAGCGAATAGGCCCGGGAAAGCACAAAATCTCAAAATCGAGTTCTTGCCCGGACACTGCCTTTTTTAGCCCATAGATGCCAAGACCTCAAGAACCACAATTCAAAAGCAGATATAGTCGCCCTCACCCCACTAGTCGGTCGGTGGACGAATTCAAATTTGAATTGAAGCAGGCCTGTCACGACAGAGCATGGCAGGAGACAACGCTCAGCAATTACAAAAAACTCAATATAGATCAAAAACGTTGTAACAATACAAAAACTGCTAAGCAATGGCTAAGAAATACGCAAAGGGAATGCGCGAATTTGAACGGAGAGCTAATTTGCCGTGCTCTGCCGCGACCTGCTTGCTCCAGTTCGAATTCGAATTCGTCCACCGACCGACTAGTGGGGTGGGGACGACTATACAGCTCGAAAATTCATAGTCGGAATTCAACAATGATCAAGCATTAAACGCCTTAGACCTAGAAAGCTTGAAGACAGAAAGTTGCTTATTAATTAATCACTGAGAATGTTATCAAAAAATTCGCAATATCAGTAAGAGCTGAAGAAAGAGATTGTCAAAAGATTGTTGGTCTCCTCTAACTAGATATAGCTTGGATACCTTGGGGGAGCAACTAAAAATTTTGAAGAATTACGGAATTTGACCATGAACCTCACAAGGGGAGTTCGTTTGGTTGAAGTGGCGATTCGGAAGGTGGTTTATACCCATGAATAGACCTTTTGACGCTGATGTCAGTACCTTTGATATTTGCGATGCGCTCTTCTAGAAAAAAGTCATGAGCTTTTCTTATGTCACATTCTCGTGCAATTTTAGTCGTAAAATCACGGTAGTTTCCACACAAAAATCCAGGTATCCAGGCTCAGGCAAAGCACCTAATAAGCATTGTAGGTTTATTATGATATCATCTGAACGTTTTCGAGTTTTGTTCATCCATGTTTTTATTTACATTTCTCCTTCTAGACCACACTTCTACTATAAATACAAAAAAGCTGTTGATGATTTCTGGATCATCAACCATTGATGAACTCTATAATCTGTATAGCCTATGGGATCCCCGTAGGCTAAATGGTGAGCTACTCACTCTCGAGTATCTAATCACTCAAGAGTGAGTGGTACCTGTGCGCCAGGAGTGTAGCCAATCGGCGGCATCTCCTTTTAAGCACTAACTCGTATACTTTGTACCTTGTATTCGGTTTGGCTCCGCCTTTCTTCCTATATAAGGAGCCTCCGAATGTATTAGAGGTTCTTCCCCGGTTAACACCGGGACACCTCGACAGATGGCTCTCAACTAATCTACGCCAGTGTGAATAAACCTATTCCACAACTACTCGTCTACCCTATCACTTGGTACACACCAAATTGGTGCATCGGCCGGGAACTTCCTTGCAATTCCTGAGCGACTCCTTTACCTAAGGAACGGGAATTCAAGGCCTAAGACCCGCGTGGCA